CTTGCATTTTGATACAGCGCCTTATCACACATCTTCGAGATGTCTCAAAGCGCTTCACCGAATATGCCATACATTATATATTTCTAACCTGCAGTACTCCTTGTTGTTAATGTGTGATCACATCATTTTATTGGGGATATGACATATCGTGGGTAAGAATGTTGCCACAACAATTAGTTTACACATTTGAGTGTTTTCAAATGGGTGAATGTGTATTTATTGCTGGTGTCAGTGATTTGTTTAGGAAACATCCAGGATCCAAAATGCTCTTGCATGAGATATGTTTTTTATTAAATGTTTGAGGTCATGCAAGAAGTTATTATTAATCCATTCATAAGTGTTCCACATGAAATGTATCCTGAGATTCGTCAATTCGACTTTTATCCGAAGAATGAGATGTATTATTTTATTAAATCATTGTTCAAATAACTCAGAAATGCAGGGGCTGAATCAAGACTAAACAGTGCTTAGATGAGTGCACCAACGAAACAATAAATAGCAATATGTAGTGATAATAATAATTAACCTGGCATCTGATACAGCGCCTTATCACATCTTTGAGACGTCCCAAAGCGCTTCACGCAATGGATTGTAAAGTGGAGTGACTGTGTATTTTGTGGGCAAAATATCTGCCCGCTCTCCCTCCCTCCCTCCCTCCCCTCCCATTTTACACTTAAAATCATCTGGGCGCTTGTGCACTCAGCCTAATTAAGATTAAAAGCGCAGAGTGAGATAAATTGCCACAGTGCTGTAAGTAAACAGAAGCATCTTTCAAAAGATACAACCAGCACAAAAAAGGGAGTGTTAGTCAGGCTGCAGGCTTGTGCTGTGATTCCTACAGTGTCGGATCTCAGCTATCTTTATGTCTAGGCCGTCAGAAAAAAAGCACTGAGCAGAGGCTTTTGTTGTGGTATTTTTCCAGACAGGAGAAAAAATAAGAGTGAGTCACATTTCCCGGCACTCGGTTGCAAATAACATTGACATGGAAGCAGATTGTGCGACCGCACTTGTGGTTCGGTATCAGAAAGCACCTTAAACAGCAGGGACATAGACAAACAATGTCGGACTAGAATAGAGGATTAAAGAGTAATTCAAAAATAAAACGAAGCATTTTGAAACAATAACAGTGATAATAATCCTTGCATTTGGTATCGTGCCTTCCCACATCTTCCGAGACGTCTCAAAGCGTCTCACAGAATATAGTGTAAAGTCAATTGACTGTGTATTTTGTGGGCGAAACACAAAGGGGGAAAAAAAAACACAGACACTTTAACACTGGCCACCACTGTTTGTAATAATAATCTCATTTGGTTAATAAAAAACATGGAATCATTTACATTTTAATGCGATCAGGGAATTTTAGGCTTTGTTTTAAGTAAGGGCATTCAGCGAATTAACGGCAGCGTTTCCATATCCAAACTTAAAAAGAAAAGAAACTTAAATAACGTTGAGGCAGCTGTGCGCAGTGTTGGATGCTGAGTGTATCTTTATTTACCGACTACATCTTCTGTACAATGATCAGAAGCATTACTTAGCCAAACCACATGAGCTATTACACACAACACACCCAACACCCAACACACCCAACACGCACAATACATACAACACACGCAACACACGATACACATCATACAGATATTGAGACATAGACACTGCGTTATTTCACACGGCAATATGGGAATGTTTATTTCAGGATAAATTTTCAGGTTTAGTTTCAATCTCTATTTACTTAACCAGAATGTACAGCTAAAGGCGTTCAGTGAACCGGAAGGTATACGAGGTATGATTTTAGATTTTCCATTCCAACCACTTTAAATGAGTTGAAAATGCGCGAACGGTTTGAGTTGTTGGGTTCCTATTCGCTTAACAGAAATATTCACACTTATCAGTAAGGTCTGAATTATAATAATAGTAATAAAAACAATAATAATAATAATCCTTGCATTTGATACAGCGCCTTATCACGTCTTCGAGACGTCTCAAAGTGCTTCGCAGAAAACGCTCCAAATTGACTGAAATGACTGTACATTTTGTGGGCGGAAAAAAAAGGCTGATCCTATTGAAAATAAAATAAAATAAGAATAAAACTGTTTCTTTGGGGGGGGGGGGGGTTAAATTTTCTCTTTTTAAATTTTTTTTCTTTTACTTATTTCTTGCAAGAAATATTCATTCAAAACTATGAAATCATCATCAGTAAATGAATGAGCTAGTGACCGAGTTTAGTTATTTATTTAGTTATTTTTGCACATATTAAACATAATTTATCGTCCGAATGTCTCTGACTTTGATCGGCGTTGTGTCTGCTGTGCTAAGTGGATGTTGCGTTGGTATATTGGGGATCTGTACAGTTTGCAATAATTACTGATTAGTGGCAAACTGTGGCAGATGGCTTTTATTCTCATTAAGAAAACAAGCCACATTTTCTGCTGGAAGTTATTCAAACACTCGCTTTGGCTGTGAAAATAACCCATGCAGAAACGTTGTACATTAATCGATTTTGATGAGTATGAAATCTCGCCTTTCCCCACCCCCCACCCTCCCCACCCCCACCCCCACCACCCGCGCTCACCCACCTCCCCCAAAAATTCCCATTCATAAAAGGAGCGTGATAAAAATCTGTTTCAATTGCCACAGTTTTAACAGTAATATATTTCCCTTCACCCCTGGCCTTAAAGAAGCATTGTTATGCCATTGACTCGGTCACTGCAGGAAACACTTCAGCGTTTTAAAAGGGATGTACAGTAATTGTAACTGTTAAGGCTGGCCTCTCTATGCACATATTACACAGCCCGGCATGCCAGTAAACTTTAATCCAATCCACTCACAAGCCTGTTTAATAATCGTTCACTGTTGCGTTACAATAGCAACGAGGGAACAAGCAGCTGGGCAAAGACTGAGTTGGGGAGGAAAATAAAGAGCTTGTTAGATTATATCTTCTACATCGTACATGCTCTTGTGTCGGGAAGCAATCTTGATAATAAGACCTCTGTGTGTTACAAATAACCCAGGCCTTCAGCCAGAGTTTAGATTAACCTTCTGGAGAAAATACTGACTCTACTATTCAAATGTTACATACATAGTTAATGATTATTGTGAGTCTATTTTACATGTCACAGTGCGTTCTCTGTACCTATATAAACCAAAGCAGACACAGCCTACAAACTGTCAGAACAATACAGCCAAACCCATTACAGATTGTCTCCATATTGGGTCAACTTTAGTAAAGATGTCCCAAATTGTTATTTTTAAACCCGACTTCAACATTGATAACCTTAACATTCTTTAAGCTCATGTTTAATAGACGTCTCAAGCACCTATCGTTTTATTCAAGAGAGCGAGAGAGAGAGAAAGAGGGAGAGAAGAGAGAGAGACCATTTTTATGTTCAAATTAAATTGTTTGGACATGTTTTTTGTTAATAAGATCTTTATTGGAGATTTCCAAGGTTTCAGGATACGAGGTGGCTATGCTTATAAACCAGATTGACGTTTCACATAGGACAGCAGAAAGGTGTCACACTTGATCACATCACTGTCCCACTTAGACCTCAACTGTGTTTTATTTTCGCGACAGAATTCCTCTCGTCAGGGATTTTGAGTGCAAGCTTGACATCTTGTTCCTATTTTAGACAGCTATACTAGACAGTTATTGTGTGGCACTGTTGTAATTAAATAACAGTTGAGTTATCTGACCTGGTGTTTCGAATAAGTTAACGTGGGTCTGAAATCCTCCGAATGAGTTTTTCTGATATCGCCATTGCACAATAATAATAATAATATTAATAATCCTTGCACTTGTTACAGTGCCTTATCACGTCTCGAGACGCCTCAAAGCGCTTCACAGAATATATCGTAAAGAGGACTGACTGTATATTTTTGTGGATGAAACAAAACAATCAGAAATAATGCAGATATAGTGTGACATATAAGCAAAAAAGATAACACTATAGAATCTAAAGGATTGGTGCTGTTGTGCCATATTGAAAGCTGTTCTTTGAACATTGAATGGGTTAGAAATAAGTTTTTACACGACATTATAGCTATACACGGATTGATGACGCTTTGTTGACCCCTGTGTAAGTTGCAGTATATGATTGCATTTTGTAATAAGAATAATCCTTACATTTGATATAGTGCCTTATCATGTCTTTGTGACGTCTCAAAACCCTTCACAGGATATACGCGGCAGCCAATTGCGCACAGCGGTGTCCCACAAACAGTCGTGGATTGAGTGACCAATTTTTTTTTGTATTATTAACTTTTGTACTAGTGTATACACACGCACGCACACACGCACACAAACCAAAACACACACAATTAGACACCTCTTCCCCCAATTTTATTTTCCGCTTGATATATATTTCCTTCGGTCTGTAGTTAAAAATAAAATTACGTGCGCCCAGGGCATTAAAGTAATAGCGGTCTGCAGTTTCTAACATTAGCGATCGGATTTTACGGGCACCTCAGATCACAGCCATTCAAAGTATGAGGTAAAATTCGATAATACACTTGAAACATTTTGGGAACATAAAAAAAAGTCATAAAGGAATTAATGTGCCAGCCCTTACCATAAAAAAAGAATGTTCGGTTCATAAATGTTCACAAGTAAAACGGTGCTTAATAGATTTTTGCTGGGCAGGTTTAAACCAATTAAGTTTATTCAAAGCTTTAGGTTTCATTTGAAGAGCGTTGCAATCCTTAATGGGTCATATTGGTTACACACACATATTGGTTGTTCCTCTGCTTTGTGCTCTGCCCATGAAATTCTACAATTTAGATGAGAACTTACTGGCTTGATGCTTGAATGGATCTGCTATATTGGGAAAGCTGTTAAACAAATTCATCGCACTTTGAATGTTGGAGNTTTTTTTTGTGTAGCGCTTGCTTGTCTGCTTCTAACTGAATAAAACCCAGCTCTGGTGATGCACCATGCTCTAGACTTTCCAACATTGAATGTGTGGCACCACACAGCGAGTAACAGAACTTGGGGTTCTGTTCCACAGTTGCCCACATGATGCGTTCAACACAAGATTACAAGAGAGGTTTGGATAAAGAAGGCCGGCCTTTCGACCCATATGATCCCATCCTTCCAGAGTACAAACCTTGCCGTCTTCCTACTTCAGCATCAAACCGCTTCTTAAGTGAGTCCAGTGTCGTAGCCTCTACCACCCTTCCTGGTTCCGGCTGTTGATGATTATTATTATCCTCTGTGTAAAGAAATATTTCCTCCTGTCTATTCTGAAATTGCTCTTCACACCCTGAAACTGAACGTATCCTTATCCTATGCTTTTTTGACTTGTCGGGAAAATATTGTGTTGGGTTTACTTTCTCTGTGTCCCGTTGAATCCTCGTTGAGCTACAGGATGTGATACATAGAGTTGAGAGAGAAAGAGAGCGAGAGAGCGAGAGAGATGACTCTGGCAGGAAGTTGTCTTCTGCTTGTCAGCGTATTTGCCAAGGCAGAGGAGCTTAGTATGGAATTTCCTTCCCCTAAAGTCCTTCAAAATATTAAGGATGCAGATGTGGAGGTTCCTGCCTTGGCTGTTCTGCCACAAAAAGCTTATAGACAACTTGGTTCAAAGCAGGTTTCGGTTTACAAGATAATCATTGCCATTGAGAGTCATTACGAGGAAAGCATACATTCAAAATGAGACAAACAGATTGAGTGATTGAGGTGGTTCTGTCTGTCAGTCAGTCAGTCAGTGGGGCTGATATTCAGATACAGTACTAAATAATAATAATAATTCTTGCATTTGATTTGGCGCCTTATCACGTCTTCAAGACGTCTCAAAACACTTCATAGGATATGCTGTAAAGTGTAGTTACTGTGTATTTTGTGGGCGAAACGTGGCAGCCATCAATGAAATCCTGAGCATGTGAATTTGTTTGGCTCCTTAGGCCACATGTGATCTTAAATGCAGAGCTGCTGTGCTTCCGGGTTACAAAGGAGAGTAGGAAGAGCCTCGAGTAAGTCATTTTTCAGTCCTGAAAAGTCCTGGGGGCCTCAATCCACTTGAATACTCAAATGAGTAAAAATCGGTTTTAATTAGCGCAGAATCTGAACGCACAGTATGTGTGCGTCCCCTTCACTCTGCTAACAAACACTAATGCCATGTTTCAGGTGTCCGGTCTGAGTGAACCTCAGCTGTTTGTTGTTTCCAGTGTGACACACAGCGAGTGTTAAGTCACTGATTCTCGGAGGCCAGTGGTTGCTGAAAGTTCCTTGGCCTTTGAATAACCAAGGGAAGCCACGTGTATGAATTGGCGTTAAAATAAATTACATTTTTCTCAACACGGGGAGTTGGGTAGAATGAACACGGCTTAAATATCGTTACAATTGGCATTTCAGCGATTTCTGACTTGGCTTAAGTTCTTGTCGAGCAGGGTGTACAGGATTGAGGAAACAATGTTAGCGTGTAGCCTGACACTTTCCCTGAGAGAGAGGGTGAAGGGAGCCTACGAACATAAGAACATAAGAATTTGCCAGGGCGAGAGAAAAGTAAGGTCCATCTAGTTCACCTTCCACCATCCAACTTGACAGGTCATGTCCCAAACTAGATACTGTGTCCCCGGATATTATTTTCCAGCAGAAATCTTAAGATGAACCAGGATATCCTCTTACGCATTATCATGCTAAATTATCAAGTACTGCAATAGCAGCGTAGGTTTGTTTGCACTAGTATCATCTTAAATTCGGGTTGTTGTTCTTCCGTTTTCATAAAGAGAATAGGAAGAGCCTCAAGTAAGTCAATTTTTCAGTCCCGGGGCCTGATTTCCACTCGGATGCGCAAATGAGTAAAAATTGGTTAATTACCGCACAATCCGAATACAGTGTGCGCACCCTTCATTCCGGTAACAGCACCCGTGCAGGTTTCAGGTGCACTGTCTCAGTGAACCTCAGCTGTTTGTTGTTTCCAACGCAAGACAAGACAGGGTGTGTTCAGCCACTCGGAGATGATGCTTCTGAAACCTGCTGGCTTTTTTTTTCCAAGAGAAATTCAGTCAAAAGGATGAGGGGGGGAAAGAGGCAGGTGGTTGACATAGATATCGCAGCGAAACAAATAAAGTTCTTGTTGACGTGTTTCGGGGGATATTTTGGTGCAGGAAACCCGTTGGATCCAGGTGTAAATGAGAAATTGTTACCTTCAGCGATTTTTGTTTTGTCGTTCGGAAGAAGATTGTGGTGGCAAATAAGTACATGGTATTTGCGGAGAAGGAGAGAGAAACAGTGTGTGAAACTGGATTGAGGAATAACCCAAATATATGTGCATAAACATTTCTTGATTCTCACTTCCCCTCTTATGACTGCAGTGATCAAAGGCTATCCATGAACTTAGACAGGTTATTTGACTATGGGGCAGGGCCCATCTGTAATTGTGTCATCCTCCATTTGATACAGCGCCTTATCACGTTTCAAAGCGCTTCACAGAATATACTGTAAAGTGAATTGACTGTATGTTTTGTGGGCAAAACACGGCAGCCAATTGCGCACAGCAGCGTCCCCACACACAGTCGTGGATTGAGTGACCCAATTATTATTTTGTTTTTGAAGTGATTATTGCCCCCGGAAAGGCAATCCGCCAATCGACTAACAACCGGCTTCTTACTTACCGCTCGGTAAACAAAGGCGCGTGGAGTAAGGAAACTTGCCCAAAGTTTCGCCCTGCCCGGGAATCAAACCCGGGTCCTCTCGCTTGCGAGGCGAGTGCTCTAACCACTAACCCACAGGATTCCATTACTACAAACCTTTACAAGAATCTCACCTGAGAGGTGGCTTGTGATCAGTACAGAGTGGTTATACTCAGATGTTCACTAAAATACTATGTTGAACTTTCAACACATGAGAGGTAGCAAGCTTGGTTTTACTGTTAATGAGAATCACTGAACTCCTGGGAAACTGCTTCTCTAAGGAATAGGGAGGAAAATCGGAGCAGCTATCTCATGTGTCTCCCAGATGTCTCCATCATAGTCAGGGAGAGAGAGCAGCGTTATCCAGAGAATCTGTTTATTTCATTTGAGCAACGGTGGATAAACAAGAGGTTCCAAAGAACGAAAGAAAAATTATGAAGAAGAACACATAACACAGGATGTCCTCACACTCACAGGTTCTTGGCCAGGTCTCGTTTGCACAACTGGAGAACTATCGCAGATTAGATGATTGCAATGACTGTGTGTTTGGTGTGATGGTGAACTTGTACTATGTGCAGCAAAATGATGTTATCATATTTGATGAGTGTCCACCTTCCGTGTCTGAGAACGGTCACCCCATTGTGTCTAGTTGTCAAGCCTTCCTGCAGAGCTGTTGGCTTTGGGGTTGGGGTAGGGTTTGGTTTTGAGGTGCAGGTAAACAACAAAGGAGTGTTGAAAATCTCTATTTGTCTGACGTAAGTAGATATTTTATGCTCAATAAACTTGGAAATTATTGGAAAAAGAAAACAATTAATTTGAGTATTCTGTGAATCATGAGTTGGTGTAAGCCTGTGTGACAATTGAATGAAGCTGTTCTTTATAAATTCAAGGCTATTTTTACACTGGCATTTCAAAACATAATCACAGCAACAAATCCCTATGGTCAAATCCTTTTCAGCTAACACAGTGAGCAATAGCAATAGCAGCAGAGTTTTAGTTTAACAAAAGGATTTAGTTTATGTTACGTAAAGTGAAGGGTATGGAGAGGCTGTGAGTCTACAAGCCAACTTAAGGTTTCGTTGATTTCATAACCCTTCTAGCTTGAAATCAAAAAAGAAATCAAAAAAATATTGATTTGGTCACTCAATCCACGGCTGTTTGTGGGACACTGCTGTACGCAATTGGCTGCCGCGTTTCGCCCACAGAATACGCAGTCAATTCACTTTACATTATATTCTGTGAAGCCCTTTGAGATGTCTCAAAGACGCAATAAGGCCCTATATCAAGGGCAAGAATTATTATTATTACAAAGTAATAAATAATCTGACATGAAGTATGTAAACAAATATCTACTTGGTTGGCTACAGGACAGTTTTTGCCAAAGACAGACAGTATTATACTCTTCTACTTGCTATTATATTATATAGAATATATAGTGTATCTTCATATGTGGCAAGTATTACAGGCAGACAGGGTGTGCATTGTGAGTTTAGAATACTTTGTGTGCACAATAACATTTTAATGGGGGATAAGGAGGTTAGTTTAGACAGTTATCCCACAGTTTGTTGAAAGGGTATGTTTTCGTCCTCATTTGGTTTTGCGTGGAACCCCATAGTTTGAGGTCTTGGTGGTTGAAGTGGTCCGTCCTTCCAAAAGTGGTCAGTAGTGAAGGCCTTGCCTGGCAGGAAGGCAGTGAAGGGTGGGATGGTTTGTTGAGACTGAGATTTGGAATCAGGGAAATGTAACCTCCAGTGGTGCAGTCCGTGACTTTGTCAGCAGCGTTCCATTGACTTAAGCTTTGTTCTTTCTGTTTGCTTTGCGTGTGCTGCTATTGGGGTGGCTACGTATAAGTGTACAGTAAAATCCCATTAATGGGTTAGGGCGAAACAAAGTAGTAACAAAACAAGCAGATCTGTATGTTGTGCGACTGGCTGCACCGGTTCCAGTCCTGTTTACGCAGCAGGCGGGGAAGCGAGTTTGCATCCAATTTATATCAACTGAATTTTTCAGGGGAATCAAATTACAATGTGTTTGCATGCAACCATGATTTGCTACAGAAACTGTTTACAGGAGCCAGCCAAGATGTGCATTTATTGTGTGTGTGTGCATGTGTTTATGGAGGAGGAGGAGTATGTGGGGGGGAGGAGGGAGGGAGAGTGGGAAGGTTAGAAAGGAATCAATCAGACAATTGAATTCATCTTCCAATGAAACGCTATTAGAAAATACTGCTTGTTTTAGGCCGATTCGGATGGGTTTGCTGAACTCTCCCCATCTCGTCACGCCTCCGTGTAAAGAATGCAATGGTATAAAACACAGCCACCCAATGGGGCTCAGTGGCAAGCAATTTGCCTCAGGTTTACTGGGCTGTCTACACAGTCAGAGCTCTCGTTCCTTGGCCGAGAAGCAAAGTTACATCTGCAATGGTTTTGTAAGCTGGAAAAGTGCGAGTGGTCTACACATCCGTAACTAATGCGCTGCAGCTGATGATTTCCCAGCTCAACAGAATGAGTTGCTGCTGTGTGAACAGGATCCGTGTCAGGATCAAACCCGGACACGACGAAGCTTTGCTCAGTGATTGGCTTTTGATTGTGTTTTTCACAGCCATATGGAGCTCTGATGGCGTACGAATGAATAAATATAATTTAATAATTGAACCCCGCCCCCCCGCGCTCCATAGATATATTTATTACAGGCAACTCTGCTTCCGAATAGACCAAAGGCCTTTGCTTTTTTGCCAGTAGGAACCAGAATCAGTCAGGCTCACGGCCAAGCTGGTATCTCATGCTCGAGTCAGAACCGCTTGTTTAAATAGATGAATTCGCTGCTCTGTAGGACTCCAGGCAATTTGCACCTGAAATCAGGACTGGAGGGAGGGTGGTGGGACCTCTTAGACTGGATGGCTCTTACTTTGCAGGATAGATGGGAGAGCTGGAGAGCGAGAGAGAGAGAGAGAGAGAGAGAAAAAACCACTATGGTTTCATTTATTATTTTGAAAAAAAAGTTTTATTATCGGGAGCAATTTTATAAGGACTGGTTCATATTGACCCTAATAATGTAATATAAAAACAATTTGGAATCCTGTGTGATTGCCTCCCGATGTTGGCAATACAGATTCCCTTTTTTTCTCCTATTTTTCCACACGATTCCTACTGGTTTTCTGTAGGGCTGTGCAGTTAGTCAGTCGCCGCTCTTGTGTGTACGCTTTGTGGCGATGTTTTTTTTGTTAACCTCACATCAGTGCTCAGCTGCCTGTTACTGATCATCACAGGAGCAACGTTGCCAGGCAGAGAGGAGGAATAACTGAGGTGCAATGGGATCCCTTGTGGGCTGTAGGTAGCAGTTTGTTCTCCTACCCCTTGTGTACATATTGGGCTAAAACTAAGTCTAGACTGAATGCATGTAGGTCGCCCTTGAATGACTCAAGTGCTCACAATCTATTGTGTGTGAATCACTCTTGTCTCTCGTGCTGCGTGTGTCAATTTGTCAAGCACTTGGAACGCCTCGCTCACTCGCTCTGTGTCGGGACAGTATAGATTGATCGATGCTTTGGGATCTTTGTTCAGTGCGGTTTGGGAAATCTATTGTGAATCCATTGCCTCTCACTCGCGTGCGAACCCCTTGGCACCTCCTTCCCTCTCAGACCCGGTTACCCACAACCCGCTGTCTCCGGCCTCCTGCGTGCCCCCCCCCCCTCCGCCCCACCCCATGCCCTCCCTTCCACCTTCAGTGGCCGCGCTTTCAGCCACTGCGCCCCGAAACTCTGGAACACTCTCCCTCTGCCTCGCGCCCTTCCTTCCCCGTCTCCACGCTCAGGCCACTGTCAGGAGACTCCGGGACACTGCCCTGCGGGAGGGGAGCTGTAAAAATCCACGTTGTTGTTGTTGTTGAGTCTCGTTTGCTTCTCTCTTCCGCAGTCCCGATGCCCATCAAAGCCAACGGCAGCTCGCTCTCCTCTCTCAGCCTGCAGAAGGACGGTCTGGTGGGAGGGGTCACGAACCCCAACGAGGTGTTCTGTTCTGTCCCCGGCCGCCTGTCGCTGCTCAGCTCCACGTCCAAGTACAAGGTGACGGTGGGAGAGGTACAGAGGCGTCTCTCACCCCCGGAGTGCCTGAACGCATCGCTGCTGGGAGGAGTGCTCAGGAGGTGGGCAAATGCATAGCAAAATAAAAATAAAACCCAGCTCAGGTTTCCCTTCACCTCCCTCCCTCCCCTCCCTCCCCTCCTTCAAGGCCATCTCAAGACCTTCCTCTTCGACCGTGCCTTCGGTCACCCTCCTACCCCCACCCTCCCCGCTCTCCACCCCACTCCTGATCTCCAACCCCCAGCTCGGGCCCAAATCCCTGACTGCCCAGCCCAGCGCCTTGGGACGTCCTCCCGACGTGAAAGACGCTGAGTAAATGTAATTTGTTGTTGTTGTTGTTGAGAGAGAGGGAAATAGAGACAGAGAGAGAGGGGGTGGGGCAAAGGCTAAGGAGAGATGCAGACAGGAACAAAACTGAAAGGTTGGAATCAAATCAGGGTAGAACATAGTCAAACAGAGCGCTCGGAGTAACCAGGTTTAGCTGCTGGTTGCTTGACTTGCTGCCTTGCCCGCTGTATAAAGCAACCAAAAGTAAAGTTCCTTTCATTCCAGGGCCAAGTCGAAAAATGGCGGGAGATCCTTGAGGGAGAAATTGGAAAAGATTGGATTGAATTTGCCTGCGGGGAGACGCAAGGCTGCCAATGTCACTTTACTCACCTCACTGGTGGAAGGTAAGTCACAGTGTGGCTGGACTGGTGCAGATTGACGCACTGGGGGAATAATGATAATAATAATAACAATAATAATAATACTCCTTGCATTTGATATAGCGCCTTCCCACTTCATTGAGACCTCTCTCCCTCCATCCCTCCCCACTTTCAAATCTCCCCTAAAGACCTTCCTTTTTGATGGTGCTTATGGTCACCTCCTTCCCTCTGGGGTTGGGGTGGAGGATAAGGGGGGTGGGGGGGGTTAGGAGGGTGACCGAAGGCGCGATCGAAGAGAAAGGTCTTGAGGAGGGCCTTGAAGCAGGTGAGGGAGGGAGCAAGGTGAAGGGAAATTTTTTTTTATATTTAAATGAAATATTAGAATAAAAGCAGGAACGTGAAGGAAGAAAGGAGGTTAAACAGATGGTGAGATGCTGTTGCTCGGATTAGTTGCTACGTTTGCCCATGTAACAGCAGTCGCTGTGGTCGTGCATTGTGTGAAGCATTTAGAGAAGCTTCACTGTGAACCGTCGCTGTGTCAAAACCCAAGCGACTTTTTATCGTATCTTATCCCGGTTTACTTTACCGGAAGGATTTTTTAAAGCGATCGTGAGATTCCTTGTTTGAGGCTGGTCCTCCTCAGAACGAAGAGATCGCGGGAAAATGTTAAGCCGGCCACAAAATATGCAGTCGGTTCACTCTTATAGTCTATCCTGTGAAGCGCTTTGAGCCGTCGCTAGTTATTGTAAGAATAATTATTATTATAGTTAAACGCTTAATGCGCAGATTCAGGAGGGGTGGAGGGCAGCGAGGGTGGGGGGGGTAGAAGGTGCGGACGAAGAGGAGGGTCTTGAGATGGGCCTTGAAGGAGGCAAGGGAGGAGAAGGGGCTTGTGGAATGGAGTTCGAAAGGATGGGGGCAGAGAGGCTGAAGGCCAGACCGCCAAAGGTGGGGCAGGTCGGGTGGGGGAAGGTCTGACTGTCTGTCGGTCGGTCGGTCAGTCGGTCTGTCTGTCGGTCTCTCAACTGCTGACTGCCCTACTTTTCAAACGGGGAACTAGGCAGCAGTGTTTAAAATACACGCAGCTCTGGCAATGTTGAACCCAAATTGTTATGTCAGCTTACTTAAATACCGCCCTCACTACTGGCTCTACATTTGAGCACATTTAAAATAATGGTCTTCCGTTTGTGAGGCATTTTTTTAATCCATATATGTATTGAATTTGGTTTGAAAAAGCGGTCTCATGACTGATGTGATGTGGGAATGATACAGACACTGCAGTCTGTTATAGGGGAAAATCGTACTATTTTCTCAGACAAACCGAATGTTCCGCCTGATTAGCCCAAGTTTGTTCGAGTAGATGACGATTTGCCTCTTAAACAGAAATTGCTGACCTTTTGCCGATAACAAACCATTACCGTACAGCTGATCTCCTCGGGTTTATTTCTCTATTGCAGGCTCTTAAAGTAAGGAACGTAATACTTGCCATATGTAGTTATTTACAGTTTCTTTACGGAGATTCATGTTGTCTGAAGAATGATGGGCAGCTAATAAGAAGAATAATTTGGTCACTCACTCCACGGCTGTTTGTAGGGACGCTGCTGTGCGCAATTGGCTGCCGCGTTTCGCCCGCAAAATATCGAGTCAATCCACTTTACCGTCTATTCTGTGAAGCGCCTTGAGACGTCTCGAAGGCGTGATTTTCTTTCCTTTTCTCTCCCGCCTTCGTTTCAGCCTTTCCTCTTTCTCTCTTTTTCTCACTTTGTGTCTCTCCTTTTTTTAAGATCCTCGCGAGCATCTGTCTCTCCTCCTGTTCTATTCCTGCGTTTCTGTCGCTATCGTTCTGCATCTTTGTCACCTTCCTGGCTCTCCACGTTACCTTGTCTCTCTCTATCATCCTTCCTTACTTTTCATCTCGTTCTATCACACTTTCTGTCTTCCTGTATCACCATTTTTGTCTCCCTGTTCCTCTTGTTGTCTCTCCAGATCACTTTATCACCTCTCCTCTCTGTCTCTGTCTGTGTCATTGTCTCATTGTCGGGTTTTGCTCAACCTCGGACCCTTGTACAAACTATTGCTTGTCCCTCTTTCGACTCTTTCGATGGAAATTTTGCCTCGTTCAATTTGTGGGGACGCTGCTGTGCGCAATTGGCTGCCGTGTTTCACCCACAAAACGCAGTCAATTCACTTTACAGTTGTGTGAGGCGCTTTGAGACGTCTCGAAGACCTGATAAGGCGCTATATCAAACGTAAGGATTATGATCATTATTATTTTAAGATTTATTTTGTATCTGACCAGCTGCAGAGATCCAAAATGCTGACTAGTTTCTGTCTGTAACAAATTTAAGATCACACAAAATTGTGGAAATCTATATTAGCTTTTAATAATAATAATAAGAAGAGTTGCATTCGATATAGCACCTTATCATGTCGTCGAGACATCTCAAAGCGCTTCACAGGATATACTGTAAAGTGTAGTGACTGTTTCAGTAACTCCCAGTTAGATTCTGGTTAATCACTGTTCACACACTCACACACTTTGAATTGGATCCCTAGTTTTCCTTTACCCACAACAGCAAATTTCATTGCCTGAATATTTATTGTGGATCGCGGTACGTCCGAACGTCAGTAAGAATTGAGCAATTTAATCATTGAATTCATTACGACGAGTTGAAATATATCCTTAATAACATTCCCAGGCCACATGGGTGATGCTGATGTATATTTCAGCAGATTTGCAGTGATTATTTTGCTTGACTTGATCTATTGGTTACCCCAGCGGGAGAAATGTTCAGAGTTTGTGTCACTGGATGCATTTGGGTTTCTTGTAAATGAGATTTATTCTTATTCAAATCAGAGCAAATATTTTTAAACCAAAATGTACATTTTACTGTACATTCTGTGAAGCGCTTTGAGACGTCTCGAAGACGTGATGATGGCGTTATATCAGATGCAAGGATTATTATATTATTAAATGTGCGCGTGTGCGCACTGGGATTGTAAGCGTTTGCTTTGACATAATCATCAATATGTACCCGTTCTCTCGCTGCAAGTGGTATTTATTTCAAACTCAGAATGAATTTCACTCTGAATTAATAATAACTAATAATACTAATAATCCTTGCATTTGGTACAGCGCCTTATCACACCATTGAAACGTCTCAAAGCGCTTCGCAGAATGTACTGTAAAGTGGAGTGAGCGTTCTATTTTGTGGGCGAAACACGGCAGCCAATTGTGCACAGCAGCGTCCCCACAAACAGCCGTGGATTGAGTGACCAAATTGCTATTTTTTTTAATGGATTGATATCAACCAAGGGAATAAAATATGGGACGGTGACATGAACATAACAAGAGTGACGAGCGATGAGAGAGAGATAGGGAGAGAAAGGAAGGAAGGAAGGAAGGAAGGAAGGAAAAAGTGGAGGAAGCAACGGCAGGGGGTGGTGGGAGCACATGGAAAAGCAACAACAAGTGAACATTACATATTTAAGGAATGACTGACTGTTTCATGTGGGGAGGGAGATCGCTGGAGAAGCCAAAGCATCTCTTTATTGATCAAACCGCTTCTCATTCAAGTGCTGCAGTGTTTTGGGGGAAACTATTTTTTTAGGATAAAGCTGGCGGCCTTTTAAGAGATGATGTACGAGCTCCAGAATGTAAACTGCCAAGAAGCCAATACAAATTTTGCGGGAATGCTAATTTTTTTAAATATCTTGTATTTTAAATCAGAACGCTGTGCCCTTAAAACAAACAGTGGTTTCTGTTTGAAAAAAATATGTATTACATCAGCAGTCATCCTAGCGTTTTCTTCCCCCCTCTCTCTCTCCAAATTTGAAAGGTATTTGAAGTATTTTGTTTTCTTTAAACACGGTGGTAGCCATCACTGCAGGACAGACCTTGAAAGCCTTCCGAGCGAACATGTCTTTTTACTGATATACTGTATATATATATATCTTTGGCTGAGCATAAAATACTGTCACTATTTGAGAGGTATCAGCATTCTTACTCGCTCACACGTCACAAGGCAGGGTCACAAGGCAGCCTTATCAAGTCTTCGAGAGGTCTCAAAGCGCTTCACAGAATGTACTGTCAGGTGAACTGATGACGGTGTATTTTGTGGGTGAAAGGCGGCAGCCAATTGCGCACAGCAGTGTTTTCACGCTAAAGTTTTAATCGCTTTGCACATTCAACAGAGTTTCTTCCTCTCTACCCTTGTTGCCTCTCTCACTCCTCTCTCTCTCTCTCTCCCTCCCTCTCCCTCTCTCGCGTGCTGTAGGAGAAGCTGTGCACCTGGCTCGGGATTTCGGCTACGTTTGCGAGACTGAGTTCCCGGCAAAGGCGGCAGCAGAGTTTTTGACCCGACAGCACTCGGATCCCAGTGAACTCCACGCTCGGAAAAACATGCTCTTAGCCACCAAGTGAGTAGCTCAACCAGTAATGGTCACGGATTGTAATTGCCACCGTCAGATCTAGCACCAGCCACTCAGACATGGGGGTTTAGTACTGAACGGCGTTCAATTCACATATCAACAACATAACAATAATCCTTATCATCCTTACATTTAATACAGCGCCTTATCACGTCTTCGAGACGTCTCAAAGCGCTTCACAGGACACACCGTAAAGTGAATTGACTGTATAATTTGTGGGCGAAACTCAGCAGCCGATTGCGCACAGCAGCGTCCCCACAAACAGTCGTGGATTGAGTGACCAATTTATTATTATTATTAATTTACTTATTTATTTTCATCCTCATAAGGGGCAGAAATTCTACACACCTGCCCTCCAAATTTTCAGGCCAGTGTGTGAATTTATAATTACAATAATAATAATAATAATAATAATCCTTGCGTTCCATATAGCGCCTTATCACGTCTTCAAGACGTCTCAATGCACTTCACAGAATAGACTGTGAAGTGAATCGACGGTATACATTGTGTGGGGAGAGATGACACACAAATTGGGCTTCTCTTCAAAAATCAACCGTAGAATTGCAGCAATATTTCAGAGTCGGTTCTGAACATTCGGTTGGCCTCCTTATGTCATCTGAAATATGTCACGTGCCGGGCAGCAGTGCCAGCAAGCCTGACCAGAGGTGGTGGTGAAGATCATGTCAGAAGGAAATGATGACTCGGAATTTCACTCGCAATTGAGGCAGAAAGTGGGATCTCACTCGGTTAGCAACTTGGGGGTGGGGTCACTCATCGCCCTTTAAGGATCTACGGAGGATTTCCGGTTACAGCTGTGAATTTGTCACCCGATCTGTGTTAAAACAAACAGGAAAATGATAATAATATAATAGTATATTCTGTGAAGGCCTTTGAGACACGATAAAGAACTATATCAAATGCAAGGACTATTATTATCACAGTAATATAATAGATTTGTGCGTATCGCCCACAAATATACAGTCACTTCACTTTACAGTATATTCTGTGAAGCACTTTGAGACGTCTCGAAGATGCGAAAAGCACTGCATCAAATGCACGGATTATTATTTATTGTTATTATAACAAATTACACTTGTACAGCGTCTTTCACGTTGGGAGGGTGTCCCAAAGCGCTGGTCAGTCAAGGATTTAAACATTGCTGTGGTTAAGTAATTCTTTATCATGTTTCAATAATACAATGTTTATTGGGGCTATCGAGGCTTTTTTTAATGGATACTAAAAAAAAAATCACAAGTGAAATAAAAGTAAGGAAAGATAAATGTGAACATCATATTACGAAGAATTAACTGGATGAAATTAGTGGTGTTTCATAACACTTTTAATGTGATCATTATCACATTGAACGCATTATGAACCACTGCAAATTTCACCGTGATGATTTTAGCTATAATTTTGTCCCTAATTAGAAGAATTGTTTTTACATCAAATATTCTCAGCACACCACAGATTCCTGAGTCCAAATGTTTCTGTGCAGTCGGTACAGATGAACACGCACTACTTTGTTTGTTAGATGTTAAGGTTAGAGTCCGAAAAAAATCAAAAGAAAAATCAAAGTTATGTTAGAAAGGGAGCTGTGTGTGGCCGTTCATTGATGGCAAGACTGGGATTGCTGTGTCTATTAATAATAATAATGGTAATAGTAATCCTTGCATTTGATATAGCGCCTTATCAGGTCGTCGACACGTCTCAAAGCGCTTCACAGAATATATGGTAAAGTGAATTGACTGTATATTTTGTGGGTGAAACGCGGCAGCCAATTGTGCACAGCAACGTCCCCACAAACACTTGTGGATTGAGTGACCAAATTTTTATTATTTTTTTTCTAATCACCCAGAGACAATGCAATATACATTATATATATATATGTGTGTGTGTGTGTGTGTGTGTATCTCTTCCTTCTCCCTGTGGAATTGCTGTAGAATTCTCCGAAACAGATTTTATTGTATTATTTCTCCTGTTGATAGTAATGCAGAATATGGACTAATTTTCCAATTAGAGTATTTCACATGCCCATTTGCCATGTTAGTGCACTAGCTGTTGTGTGTGTGTGTGTGTGTGTGTGTGCGTGTGTGTGTGTGTGTGCCTATGTGTGCGTGTGTGTGTCTGTTGGGGGAATAACTGGCAAATTTCTCTTGTCTGGTATTAATTAATAGGTTATGATGTAATGTTTTTCGAGCGATGCTGTCGGGGTATATTTCGTTTGAACTGGAATTTGTACACCTGCCAACAGCCTTGCACCCACAGGGGTTTAGCACCGCAATATAATTATAATTACATTGTCTTGAATGAATAACCTTTACCACATTTCATACATGTAATGTTACACATGATGCCCGATGTTGTCACCTTGATTTTCCCCCTGCCATCCCCACCGACCTCCGCCCCCACAAGAGCTTTGAGACGTCTCGAGGATGTGATAAGGCGCTGTATCAAATGCAAGGATTATTATTATTCTGATGATGATAACGATTACATTTAACATTCCCGTTTCTCTTTCTCAGGCAAATCTGCAAGGAGTTCACAGATCTACTGACCCAGGACCGTTCTCCGTTGGGGAACAGCCGTCCTGCACCCATGCTGGAGGGAGGAATCCAGAGCTGCCTGACTCACTTCAGCTTAATCACACACGGATTCGGCAGCCCAGCTCTACTGGCTGCCTTAACCGCCTTCCAGAATTACCTGGTGGAGGCCGTGAAGGGGCTGGATAAGATATTCCTCAGCTCATCCAACAACCATTCCTCTGGGGAATCCGGGACTAAGAGCACAGACAAAGAAGCCAAACATCGGAAATAACTCGGGACAGATGGCCTGGACCAAACTGTTCTGATTGTTTCGAAAAGAGATTAAAACAGTCAATTCAACGTGCAATTATATATTAAGAAGAGGAAGAAGAAGAAGAAAAAATAAAGCGACAAAAAAAAAATCACCCAGAGGATTGGATTGTGTCGAGGTGTACTGTGGGGGGGGGTGTGCGTGCGTGAGGTCACAACTTTCTAAATGAGGTGGAGAGAGAGGAAGAAAAAAGAGAGAAGAAAGAAAAGTCCGGATGGATGGATGGATGGATGTATGGATGGATGGGGAGGGGAGTTGGTGTGGTTTTACTGGGAGCCGATGCCGGCCTGAACCCAGGGCGATTCCGGCTCAAACAACAACAACACAACAACAAGACAAGACACCGCAAGAAGTCTGCACATTGAATCTTCATTGGACAATTCAATCAGAATTCGGGAACATGAACAATGGCACGAAATTAAAGCACAAGCTTAGAGCATTGGCCTCGGCAAAGCAGAGCAGAGCAAAGCAAATAGTGTTCCATATGTATATATTTATTTATGTGTAATTAAATTGGGAACTTTAAATAGACCCGTCGTCGCAAGCTATTTATCTGCTGACCTGGTTTTCTGCTGTGAGTAATGATGGACAATTGAAGACTTTGCTTTTAGAATTTTTTTTTGAACTTTGAGGTTTCAGGTACAAGATGACAGGATAAAGGACAGATTGACCTATGGTTTCTGTGTATAAGTCATTGTATTTTCTTGTGGAAGTGAAGCACAGAGGAATAATTGTGAATGTTTTTTTCCCTCCCCACCCCTCCTCCCCCTGAACTATATTTTGAGATGGTGGCGTGTGAGGTACGAGGTTATAAATCTCTTAATTTTTTGTCTAGAGTGTTTCATAAATTGTTGAATAAATTGTGCTGCTATACAGAATGATTCTATAGATTTTATTGGGGTTTACGAGGTGAAGGCACAGCAGTTAGGAGCTCGTCGGTAAGATTTCTTTTTTGACCTAAAATTGTTGGAAATAAAGTCAAATCATTCAGACGTTATTAAAAAAAATTATAAATCACTTCAGTTACATAATACAGTAAACCTCACATAAGTCATATCAGTTGGTTGGGACTGTACATTTAATATGACTTATGAAAAGTTTGAGTTAGGTCAAACTCGAGGCAAATTCGAGATGGAGAAGAACAGTGGTCGGCAGTGTTAAAAAAGGCAGAGAGAGATATGTGAATGCTATAGATCTTTGCATGTTATTTGCACAACATTTAACTACAGAACAAAATGAAATAAGTTAGAATAGATGGTCAATAATAAAGATAAAGTTGAAGAAAAAGAGAAACAAAAGGAAAGAAGTGGAATTAAAGAACCAGGATTGAAGTGGGAGCAGGGGAGACGATTCCCGACCTTTACAATTGAGTTTTAAAATAATCCTATTTTTGTATTTAAATAGTTGGCTCTGGTTAACACAGAAATCCCTCTATTGCTGGTGTTTAAGTAGTTTTATTACTTAATTCCACGACTGTTCGTGGGACACCGCTGTGCGTAATTGCTCACAAAACACACAGTCAATTCACTTTACAGTATATTCTGTGAAGCGCTTTGATATGCCTTGAAGACGTGATAAGGCGCTATATTAAATGCAAGGATTATTATTATTATTATTGTAATTGGCCCACAGAGACGGGAGCCTCCATATACCTGCCTGCTGCCAGTCTAAGGATTACCATTTAAAAGATGTAATTGCAACCAGAGATGGCGGCACATTTATATTTGTATATATATATATCTATGTCATATACATCATATATTTAACAGAGCAGATTATCCTGGGTATTATTCTACTCCTGTGGGAAGCTTTCAGCTTCTGAAAATGCCAGTGCAATACTGTACTGTAAGTGGAAAGGCTGAAATCCGGAGCTTACTATACAGAGAATCCAGGAGCAAAACATTTTTCTTTTGGTCAGCTGAGTGTCTGACACATGTGGAAACCCGTCACCGTGCTTAAGCACTTCCAAACTGTAAGTGATTTCAGCAGGCTGTAATAATAATAATAATAATAATAAAAATAAATAAAATCCTTGCATTTGGGATCGCGCCTCATCACGTCGGAAGGACGTCTCAAAGCGCTTCACCTGTGAAATCTACGTCTCGTTCTGAAAGACGGATTTCCTAATCCCAGGCGGGAGGGTGTCGTAAGCTTTGCTTCTTGTCCTGTTAAATCCCGACAAGCTAACGGCAGCAGGTTTGTCGCTGCCAAACAGATGGAGTACTTTCCAACTGCAAGAGTGGTTAAATGTCAAGTGCGCCATGAAATTTGCGCCAGTTTTTAAGTTGGCTCATTTCTGAAAAATAATTATCCTGACAGCGGAAGCCTTTCTGTAGTGACACAAATAAACTGGAGGCTCCAGAACACAACATGACAAGCGTTTAATGAAGTACACAACACTGTTGGCATTTCTCGAGTTGCCAAGTTCCAGTGATGATTCTCACTGAGCCCGAGCCAAGACTAGTCAACTCTCTGACTCTTAAACGCTTCTCACCTCCTCCCTCCCCCCCCCCCCACCCCCATTCCTCACCGCACAAAACATGAGAGACACGAGATATGCTGAAGATTTCCAGGCGAGGGGTGTGGGGGTGTGGAGGGGGGAATCATTTGCAGCCAAATAAAACTTAAGTTCAACAATTAAAATTTTAATAAGAATAATCCTTGCATTTGACATCTTCGAGACGTCTCAAATCGCTTCGCAGAATATACTGTGATTTGACTGTGTAAAAAGCTGGTGCTCGTGGGGTAAACGAACAGGAAAGGTGGCAGTGAGATAGGTATAGGATACGAGACAAGGAGGTGATGATTCACTGGGAAATAGTCCCGTTTGTGGGACCCAGTAAATCACTTGTGTCAGAGGACTGAGTTAATAATAGTCCTGACTCACGAGGTATTTAATCCGGTTTTACTGCTATTGCTGAGCATTTATCATACTCATTTCACATTCATTTTGCCCAGAACAAAATACAGTATATCACATAAGTATTGGGCAAGTTTCCTTACTCCACACACACACACACAGACACACACAGACACACATGCCTCTGCTCACCCAGCAGTAAGTAGAAACTTGGTTGTCAGTTGATTGACTGATCGCTTTTCCGGGAGTAACAATCCCTTCCAAACAATAAAGAGATTTTTTTTAAAAATGAGAAATCGGGCACTCTCAATCCACGGCTGTTTGTGGCGACGCCGCTGTGCGCAATTGGCTCCCGCGTTTCACCCACAAAATGCAGTCAATTCACTTTACAGTGTGTTCTGTGAAGCGCTTTGGGACGTCCTCTCGACGTGAAAAGCGCTATATCAAATGCAAGGATTATTATTATTACAGTGTATCCCGTGAAGCATTTTGAGACGTCTCGAAGCCGCGATAAGGCGCCTGTATCAAATCAAGGATTAAACTGCACGGGAAATGGTTGTGAGCACACGATCATGTTAAAGTCTGGCATAATCCACAAATGTGCAGCCCTGCCCTCCCAAATGTTTTGCTGTTCTGATATTGGGGCGGGTGTGTGACATATAAGAGGGTTTAAGTCACAGAACAGGAATCTGCATGATCCGCATAGAAATATGTAAGGTTCAAAGAAGGGGAACAGCACACACTGCTCTTACAGGATTTAATCTTAAAATCCACAGTTGTTTCAACCACACCCCAGTACAATATGTCAGGCTCCCACATTTATTTTCGCACAGGTAAAATACGCCGTCACCACACTTTACAGTATATTCTGCGAAGCGCTTTGAGATGCCTCGAAGACGTGAGAAGGCGCTATTTGAAATGCAAGGATTATTTTATTTAGAGGATATGAAATCTTGCCGGGTGCTGTGTTGTTTACAAGATTTTTGGATAGTATAAGCAGATTTTAATTCTTTCCACGTAAGGAATCTCACTGATTATTGGTAAACTGAACTCCATTAACCCTCGCAAAAGGACGTCAGTGACAAAGAGACAGATCACAAAACTCTTTCAAATATGCAACATTGCTGGTTTCATAATAATAATAATATTGCTATACTACAGAATTTACTGTAAAGTGTAGTGACTGTATATTTTATGGGCGAAATGCGGCAGCCAATTGCGCACAGCAGTGTCCCACAAACAGTCGTGGATTGAGTGACCAAATTATTATTATTATTTTTTCTTCAGCTTGGTTTGGAGACTCTTAAAGCATGGCGATGGGTTTCCGCGTGTGTCAGACATCCGGCTGAACAACAAAAAAATTCACTTCATGGTGTTTATTGTTACGTTCTGTTCTGCATAGATTCCTGGCAGCAACGCTATTCCCCTTTTTATTGTATTAGAAGTGTTCTGTGTTCTTAAGAGCATGGCATGTTCCTCACAGGAACAAGACATTTAAATGGCCACTAATTCACACTGTGCTATCAGGGGAACAAAAGGACAAATTTAACAAGGAAGCCAATGCCAGTATAATACAATCGGTTCCATGTAAGCTCCTACCTGTGTTAGAGTACAGAGCACCTCGTCTCTTTGCTCTAGAAGCCTGTTCCTCGAGAACGTACAGTGTTCGGATTATATTTTTATTAAGTGCGTAACAGCCAGATAACTGTTGCTGTAAGTATTTAAGCATGTGTACAATTTTAAGGTTTCCGCTCTCCCAGTTTCACCGTTGTAAATGTTCATCTGTTATTTGTTCATTTGCCTCTTGGAATTGTTCTCTCGGAGTTTCTCATGCTTGTAATTTGTGCTGTGGTCAGCGTGGGAGGTTGCGTTTCTGTTGGTGCCTGTGTTTCAGTCTGTCGACTACAGTCTGTGTTACATTTTGTTCACTGGAATGTGTGTTATTCTGTCTACTGGAGTCTGTGATACAGTTTGCTAGTGTTTGTATTACAGTCTCTTGACTGGAATCTGGATAACAGCCTGTCCAGTGGAGTTTGTGTTACAGTCCTTGCATTTGATATAGCGCCTTGTCACGTCTTCGAGACGTCTCAAAGCGCTTCACAGAACATACTGTACAGTGAACTGACTGTATATTTTATGGGTGAAACGCGGCAGCCAATTGCGAACAGCAGCGTCCCCACAAACAGTCGTGGACTGAGCGACCAAATTATTACTATTATCATTTACTTGAAGGAATTATTACCCCCCAGAAAAACGATCTGCTCATCGATTAACAACCGTGTTCCTACTTGCATGGTAAACAGAGGCGTGTGGAGTAAGGAAACTTGCCTAAGGTTTCACTCTGCCCGGGATTCGACACCAGGTCCTCTCGCTTGCGAGGCGAGTGCTCTAACAAATACACTACAGAACTCCAGATGTCTTCCTTCCTGAATCCAGCCTTTCCCTGTGATTGTGCCCATGTCACTATAACAGTCAATGGGTAAAATTCCCACTGACAGTAAGTATCGCAACTTTGACCGCACATTTCATTTACAATGGGAAAATCCCAGTACAGCCACATGGTCAACATATCTCACAGTAGCCAGAGATTTATTGGCTAAAGTTCCTTAAAGGGTTTGGCAGTTGTCAGTCATCAGTCATTGGAAACGTATAAAAAAGATGTTTCAAAATAAACCGCAATATTATTAATCCTTACATTTGATACAGCGCCTTATCACATTGCTGAGACGTCTCAAAGCGCTTCACAGGATACACTGCAAAGTGAATTGACTGTACATTTTGTGGTTGAAAATACTACTTAGTCTTTCATACGTTGCCTCCAAGCTCATGCATGGAAACACAGTCGTATGGATGACCAGCTCGTTAGCTAAGCGTAAGTGTACTGAGATGAACGCAGATTATACGGACCATGTTTTATTTCCTGAACAAGGTCCAGAATTCAGGCCCCAGTTCGACCGCATTCATTTGATACGAACAAACACAACTGCAGAAAATCAAACCCCTTTTTGAACTTTTACATCTTCCTGCATCACCGAGTTAACAATTAGCA